TCACTTGAATGATTCGGTTGAACACTCTCCATATTTGTTAGCTTGTTTGATGTGTTGTAGAGAGGCTCTGTGTTGATAGCCATTTTCAGATTGATTTGAATATTAAATTTTTATTGGATCATACTAAGCAGGAAGTAAACATTCACATAGGGAATCAACTGAGCCAGAAAACTAAATAAGTAAACAAGTAGATAAGCATATTGAGCAATCATTGGGAAGAAAGTAGAAATATATGCTTTCCTTGAACTGTTTAAGTTAAAATGCTGAAAATTTTTTTTTCTTTTCAGGAAAACATGAAAAACACCATTCTTTTATTGTTCATTTTTTTTAGAAGTGATTTCTGTCATCAATTCCTAGTAGATTTCTGGTGTAATGCATTATATTCAATTAAATTTTTTTACACCTGTTGATATTTTTTGCTTTAAATCAGTATGGCTGATGCTAACCTCCAGAAGAATAATGCATAGTGCACCTTCTCAGGCTAACATTTTCCACTGACATGACGTGGAAACTTTATATTGAATCAGTTGCTGGGAAAGTTGGTTCACTGTGTCATGCTAAAGATTATTTTGCCAGAATCTATCTTATACATTTATATGTTTACTATTCATCCAAACACTGAGTATTGTTGCCACCATATCTAGTCTGGTGCTTCTGCTATGTATTTAAGGATTCTTGATGAAATATGAAGAAGAATCTGCAATGTTATCAGTCCTGACCTAGTATCTCAGATTCAGTCACTTTTCCACTTCTGTAATGAAGTCTCACTGTTCCTCTTCTATGAATAATTTCATAGTAATTGTTTTGATGAATATTCCTCTCTGATACAAAAGCCATGTTAGATGTTGAAGGTTTATTCACTTATGTCAGAGTTAAAGAAACAACAGGCATAGTCCTACAGAATGTATACAGTCACCCCTCATTCCTAAATTATACAATTAGACAAGCTATTTCTGGAAACGTTCATCCCATATGAGGCAAGTACCTTTTTACAACTGCTATGGCAACATCTATGCACAAACTGATCGCATAGCAATGGGTTCAGCTCTTAGACCAACTCTAATTTTTATATGACACATGTAGAAAACAAGGTTGTTTTATTAATTCCACCAAGCCCCTCATGCATGTATGTTATATAGAATACATCTTTATATTCGGAAACAGCTTACAAAAAAATAATTTATGCACATGCATACATCTATCTACTATCATATGACTAATATTAGTAGATAATTCTCAAATACTATGCATCACTCACTGTAAAGAAAAACTCAAAATACTGGAAGATATCTTTATACAAAAGAAATGATTGCTTACCATGGTGGGAGGCATTTTAAAAAAATGAATATCTGGTGGGTTATCTCCACATGGCTTTGCCAGATTTGACAAGATGCTGTTCGGTGGCATTTTTAAATATTTATAAAAGCAGGACACTACTGTTTTCTTTTTATTTCCTCTCATTTGCTTCTTGCATGTGGTAGAAGTAACACCAACATGGGACCTTATTCTGGGCACAGGCATCTCTTTCCCCAGTGACTGAACTTTTTCACACACATGTACATCACCAACATAATTGCTAACTTTTAATGTCTTGTTTCCTTTACAATTATACGAGTGTATTTTCTCAAAATAACTTGAAAAATATGCTAAAAAATTATAAAAATAATTGGTTCATGTTAATAAATCTTGTTTGAATTAATTCTTACTGCATGAGGACAAAAGAGAAAACCAAGTCTTACCTAGGAAGAGGATTTATGTTCTTTCTGCTATCAGTCAAAAAAGAAAATCTGACTCAAGATCAGGTCAACTTTAGTAGTCCTCAAAATATGGTAATTGTTTGTGCTTCTTTACTTTGACCAATCATGACATTTCTTACCTCATTAAAATAATTCTACTTTGAACCACAGGATGATTGTGAGCTCTTCATGGGTAAAGAAGTAGTTGTGCATTGCAGTGCGGTTTTATCCTTTTGATTTAAGTCCCCTGTATTCTCTGACATTGGGCTTGCAAGACTGATTTTTGACTGTTGGAATCACAACCTTTGACTTATGATTTTTTGGATCTGAACTTCTCTCTTGCCATGTGACTTACAAACATATGCACATATACATGCCTCTAGATATAAAAGCTAGTGTTTGTTGTCTGATAATGTAAATAACATAACCCTTTCATATCTTGGGAGGCCACAACCATAAAGTATGTCTACATGGTATAAAAAGAAAATTACTTTTGTGTATTTAAAGCCGATTTGAGGCTATTTTTAGTGTATCTAAACATGAAAATAAAGGACCAATTTCTTATTAGTACAAAAGAACTAATCAAAGATTTTTATTTACTGTAAATCCTTATGTATTATGCAACTTTTGAAGACCTAATTTTGAAGCGAATTTTAAAGGGGTCATATAAAATTAGCATATATACTGGTGGTCCAAGCAATGCTATTGACCAAACTATATATCCATTTACTATACTCAAATTAACTTAAAAATTAGATCTTCAAATGTTGCATGATATGCAAGTATATATGGTAATTTTAATGTATGGTAAGACTTGATGTCAATTTTAATATATTCTTTGAATTTTTACTTTTGTCTTTAATTGCAATAAGTTACTGGACAGTTATTCATAAAAATTAAAAATGACTTTATAATCCTTAAGCTTTTTATAATTTCATATATCATTGGGATGGCGGTATGAAGAAAGGCATTTTTGATACATTATGTATATTATTCGGACTATTGCTCTCATCTTGGTCGCCATATTTATTACAGCGTTTCAGCCGTTGTATGCTCCGGCCTTCTTCAGGTGGTTGGAATATCAAACTGGACCCATTATTTAGGTACATGGAACTAGAACAGTCTACCCCAGTGAGTGAAATAAAGGGTTCAGTTCAACATTCCAACCACCTAAAGAAGGCCGGAGCGTACAACGGCCAAAATGTTGTAATAAATATGGCAACAAAGATGAGGGCAATAATCCAAATAATGTAAATAATACCTCATCTCAGAAATATAGACATTTTTGATATTAATTACATTTATTGCAGAGATGTATTTGTGAAATTTAATTAGAATTTAATACATATTTTTTCTGTTAAAAATTAGTAATGACTGCATTATTTTGTGAAAATGCAATAAAATTTAAAAGCTTGTTACCTTTGCAATATTATCTAAATTTGAAAAATATGGTACCTGATTAATATTACCTGAACACTATCCACAATAGCAAAAGTATGTTACCAATATTCAAACATTGTTATATAATGGACAGTAATCTTATGGATCCAATCTCGGCAAGAACAATTGTATCATCATGTTTACAGCATATGCACTTTGATTTTTTTTTTACTTTACATCAAACAAAAAACTTACAGGTGTGACACAAAACAATATTTGTTTAAACACTGAAATTTCTGTATCAAAAAAAGATACCTTAATAAAATACACTTGGCACTGTGACGAGAGACATGACTTACCTCAGAACTCGAAACGAGCGTGAACATGTCTTGCCTCCAAAGTGATAACAAAAAGAAATATGGCCGCTATTGAAGAAACAATTTGTGTGTGCCGATCTCATCCAAAATGGGACAATATTTGCACACATGCAAATTTTGGCTGTATCAAAATAGCATAAAAAGGTGGGTGCCAGCAGCACCAGGGGTCGGGAGTCATTCGGCGGACTGCGTGCAATAGAGCTGGACGTACGAATTGACGGATGAACAAAGAGGAAGTCGAAGTAGGCACGGCTGAGTTGGAGTCTGTTTCACAACTGCCCAGTGTAACAGCTGAGAAATGGTGTCACGCAATCCATTTCCTTGAGGCGACCGAAGAAGAAGAAAGAATAGCTGGCCTGCCGGTGAGCACCGCGCTGCACTTTTGACCCCACCTCTCATCACCATATTTTTTCTTCAGCTTTGAAAGGACATAATTTTCATACCTATAATACTTATCTTTTTTTTAATCATTTCATCTGAAGCAAGGCAATAAAGCCACTAAGACACAAGGGGTTAATGTGTGTGAGAGAATATGAGAAAAAAATCTCTATTAAGGAGGGAGAAGAATAAAAGACTAGGAATTAAAAAGACAGAAGGAAACGATTGTATTGCATTTCAATTTTTGGAGATCAAAGTTGACTGGAAAGCAAGAAGCCAAAAGAGAGTTCCACAAGCAAGAAGTGCGATAGAAGAAACTGTTAGCATAGAAGTTGTTGCAAAAAAGGTACCAGTTGTACCCTGTTTTTTACAATCACAATCAGTGAAATTACCACAAAACTGCACAACCACTAGACTTGTCAGCCTCTGCAGCCTGTCTGATGTTCTCTCGCTTATGCTTATTTTATTGGGTGGCTGAGGCTTGGAAATTTGCATAAGCCAAAAATTCTTCTTGCAAAATCTTTGAGCAATGAGATCAGGTTGTTCTTAAATTGTAGCTTTTAGATCAGCCATGTTTTCTTTCAACTATCTTACACCTAAGACATGTGTGAGCATGTTTTGTTCCAGGAGGTAAGCCTGTTTTCCCTTCTACAGTACTTAGGGTTATATCATCAGAACAATTACCATAAACATATTTATAGAAAAGGCACAAGGAAGTTATCTTATGGCCATGGGAAAGTGACTGAAGCCAAGATGCCAGGTCAGGACCAATAACATTGCAGATTCTTCCTTATATTTTATTAAGAATTTCTAAATATCTAGCAGAAGCAACAGACCAGATTGGCAGCAACATTCAAAGCATGTGGTCATCTATGTTCCTTATTTCCATGAAGGGCCTAACTTCCAACCTGTCAGGTCTATACAGAGTACCTCTACATTCGTTACAAAAAAAATTAAGAAATCAGTTTTCATGTACTTCTTTATCCAACTTAGACATTATCTATGTAGTTTTAAGATATACTTTCTCCTATGATTATTACTGACTGTATCTCGTGATAATCATTGGTTAATTTTAATTTGTCATATTCCTGAGTAAATAAAACAGGGGATAATTGAAATAGCAATACGTATGAAGACACGATCTATTGTTTTAGCTTTTCATTTAAGCATTTCTTTTTCTTTTATCTGTGTATGGTGTTCCTTTCTCTCTTATACAGTCTGTAACTTTCTTGAGACGAGATACTGACAGTCACCATGCAGTGTTGATTTTCATATCCATATCTTTATATTTCAACTGTGTTATACTGGAACACATCTATTCTATTGTTAATAGACTCTCCCACCTATAATAAGTAGTAGTAGCTCAGGGAGTTGGTCAGTCAGTCGATGTCGGACATTAAAGTATCAACCACCACAACTAGATTGCTGCGTCATTAACTATTATAAGTTCCTAACCTTTTGTATGTCGAACCTTTTTAGGACCGACTTAGTGAAATACAAGCCTCCACTGTGAAACCCCTCTATAAAAAACTGAGAAATTAAAGTCTTTTGATTGACTTAGATCTGTGTGTGTGTTTATACATATATATATATATATATATATATATATGCCCTCCAGTATATTTTTCTAACAAGATTTCTCAAATATTCAGGCCACTAGATGTAAATAAATACAGAGCTTCTACTCAAATATGAGTATCCATTTAAAATAATGTTTAAACAAATAAATAAAAAAAATATGTCAGATTTAATTGATTTCCTAAAAAATTGTCTTTGTTTACGTTAAGATACAAATCAGAGCAGATATGTATATTTTGAGAATTGGGAAGATAATGTGTTCAAAAGGACTATTTGGGCTATGTTTGATCAGGAGGTCCTATGTAGCTGAGTTGGTTTAAGGAATGTCATATATATATATATATAAACTCATATCCATACAACTGTATATATATATATATATATATATATATATATATATATATATATACACACACATACAGTTGTAGGGATATGAGTTTATATACATTTAGGAAAAGGCTATATAGATTTTTGTATATCAAAAAAATCAGGAAAATCTATGAAAAAGAAATTTTTTTTGTGCAACCTCGTTTTATCCTTTAGTACTTCCAAGTCAACAAATCAAAATGTATTGTCCTACCAACCAAATCTACCACAACTTCAACTGAAAAGAATTTATTTAAGCTTAACATAAAATTTGTTACAACTACTAATAAAAGAATGAATGCAAAATCAAATAATAATAAGCTAAAACTTGAGAAGGAATTTACTCTATCAGCTGTAATAATTGCCACAAGGAATACATAGGAGAAACCTCAAGGAATTTAAATAAAATATTATACGAACAGAAAAAGGAAATTTTACAAAGTAACACAGTGCATTAGTTGCTCACCATAAGACTGACCACACTTTTGATTTTAAAAATTCTACTTTCAAGAGAAAGCAATTAAGATCAAATGTATAAAAAGTACTTTAATTACTAAATCATCCACACTAAATTTATGTCCAGGTTCTCATAACATTTCACCTTTTTAGCAGATCTTCTATTATCACAATATAGGATACTTATTTAAAAAATGATAAAAACATAAACAAAAACAAGCAAAACGAAATCAGCTCATCTATATACACAAATACATATTTAAAAAAATATATTTAAAATTTAAATTCAAGTTTTCAGAACCCCTCTCCTTCATGCACATGTGTAATCATATCAAAACAAGCATCACCTTAGTCCAATGAAGTTTTCAAGGATGAAACATGAGACAAGAAAAATTTTTTCCACTTTGCTCTTGATTTTCTCATATATATATATATATATATATATATATATATATATATAAAAAAAAAAGAACAGTAAGATATATAATCCGGTGTTATTATAGGTATTTATCTGTAACCATGGAAACGTGATTTTAGCTGTGTCTTTAAAACCCAGTAATTTTAAAAGTTACTCGAAAATTCGCTTGAGGATGAAATGGAACTAATGTCTTTAATTTAATTACAAAATTAAATTCGAGACTTCAGCTTCCATTTTTGAAACATGGTTAGAACTGTGTAGCGGAAAAAACATATTTTGAATCAATTAATTTATAATATATATATATATATATATATATATATATATATATATATATATGTAAAAAGAATATTTCACCCTTCCTGTCCTGTGTATGTGTGGGTTTATACATATATACATCTGGTGAAGCCTAGAAATGTGAAACGCTTAATCAAATCTAGTTTCAATGAAACTGTTATCCATTTGACAAATTTCTTCAAAACTTTGTCGGATTCTACATCCGATTTTTATATGCACACACAAACACATATATATGTTTGAAATGTAAAAACTTCTGTCTTTACCACAGGGTTGGGAGAAGAGTGCTCAATATCAGAAATAGTGTTTATAGTCAGTGTGGACACTGAAATCAACAATCCATGGTGACTGTCAATTTCATACCTCTAGCATCTTCAGACTATGTTTATCAATATTTGTTTTTACTTCCTTTGTATGATAAATGAAACTACTTTCTTATCATAGTTGCAGTATATCACTCTTAAAATTGAAGTCTAATTTATTTAATTTTGTCAAATGTTATTCCTTTTAGGCAAGAAGAACTTGTACAGAACAACTCTCAACTGAAAGAGGAGAAGAAGTTCATGAAGGATGAAATGGCCATCTTGGAAAATAGGGTGAGTCAAATTTGTTTCATTTTCTTAATTTTTTTTCATTTTTATTCATTAACATTCATTTCTCTTCTCTTTTTTCACTTTAAAAAAGATTTTTAAAAAAGTGGTAGTTTTAAAAGAATTTTTAAAAAATCAGAGTCTTTTCCCTATAATTATAAAGATCATGCCTTAAAAAATGATCATATTGTTGAATTTTTATAATTCAAACGAAATCAACATTTTAAAAATCATAACAGCTCTGAAAATAACAAGTTATTTTTGTTTCAACATTTTTCATTGGTTCTATAATACCTTGGCCACTGATTAAGGCAACATTTGCAAAATTTTTTGAAAATGCTTTTCTTTTTTTCCTAATTTAATTTTTTTTTTTATTTATTTTCTTTTACATTAAAAAATCTTTACAGCTATAGAAAGATGATTAATACTTTCAAATGTTGCAAAAAGAACATTTTTTTTATGGTTAAAAATAAAGTATTAACTTCTTTTATCTTGCTTAGCTTGTATGCATCCTTAATTCTACATTTTGCGCCATTGGCTCTTCACCCTCTTTTCACTGAATCAATGATCAATATATTGAAGTCTATCAAAATATATATTGTCTGCTCTACTAACCCAGCTATTGAGCTTCCATATCTCAAAGCCCTTGATTGTCTGGGATTCAACTCTAACTTGGCAGTAGTCAGTGGAATATGAAAAGCTTACATGGAAACTCTTTGTCGATATACGAATCATTAGACCTACATAAGAACATCAATAACGTGTATTTGTCGGAACATAAGATTAATATTGACTGTTGGCACTTATACTGTAAGCATGTAGATCTACTTATTTTGATTAAATGTATTATTGGTCTTTGTTTGTTCTAGTCAGTTTTTTGTCTTTATAGATTTACCATGGTAAAGCATGGTAACTTTCTAGGTCTGCTACTAGGAAGGTTGGTTCACTGTATCAAGCTAAACAATTTTTCTCATCAGCATCTATCTTACACATTTATAAGTCTTCTATTTGTCAATGCGTTGAATATTTCCACTACATTTGGTCTGATCTTGTACAGCGTTTAGAGATTCTTGATAAAATACAAGGAAGAATATGCAATTTTATCAGTTCAACATGGCATCTTAGCTTCAGTTGTTTCTCCCTGGCCATAATGTAGCTTCTCTGTGCCTTTTCTATAAAATAAAATTTTTTTGCAACATGCTGTGTTGAAATCCTTGCAGTATTTGAAATGGATAATTCAAAAGACACATCCATTTTTATTAAATATGTATTTGTTATTTTAATCATTAAATTGTTTTTAAAATAATGGGAGTATTTTGTATGTTAAATAATGAAACTTTTAATTTTTCCAAAATATTAATGAAAATTTATTGTACTAAGCTACAAACCCTAGTAAAAGCAAACTGTACTTTGTACGCCCTTTACCTGTTTACACTTCTCCCCCAAAATTTGGTTTCAATTGGTTAATGTATGCCAATTTTAGAGGGTGTGATGGACAGATGGGCAGACTAACAGAAGTCACAGAATTTTATATATAGATAGATATTTCATGATAATTGTTCTAATGAGCTCCATGGTAACTTGACTTTATGAATTCAAGCAGAGTACTAGATTGTCAAATAGGTCTCATCATTTTGCAGTTGAAATCGCTCAATGTAACCATAAGTTCTATGCTAACAGTTTCTTCTCTCACACTTCTCACTTGTGGAACTCTTTTGCAGCTTCTTGCTTTCCATTCAACTTTGATTTTCAAATTTAAAATGCAATGTCAATCTTCTGTCTTCTTAATTCCTCTTCTTTTATTGTTCTCCCTCGTCAAAGTTTGTTCTTTTTCTCATATTCTCTCACACTCAGTAACCCTTTGCATCTTGATGACTTTTATTGCCTCTTAGGGTGAAATGATTAGGAAAATAAGGTTTTTAATGTGTTATGTGTATATTCAGTACATTTTTACTATTTTGAATGTTAGAAAACATATGTTAACTCCCTATTTGTATTGTGGGGATTTGTCAAAGCATTAGCACTTGTGAGGTTTTCAAACAGTCTATTCAAAATATAGATATATCATTTAGTTCTTCATTTTGATACCAGTCTTTTGATCACTACCAGCTGGGTCTCCATAACTTATTGTTCATTGTGACTTTTAGTAAGGTCTGATTTCTTACTATCTCTCCTAATCCTTGTTCTGTCAGCAAATGATACATGCTTGTTAGGTTGGTTATTTGCTTCTCTTCTCTATCCCTCAATATGATTTTATTGTCTTCTTCTTTGTGACATGTACCTTGACAATGTTGGCAATCATAGCGCTTTCCACAGTTTTTTTGTCCTTTGTAGCTCTTAATAAATTTTGTCTTTCTTTTACCTTTTCTAAATCCTGTTCTGCCATTCATTTACTCAAGTTCACTAGATAGGTTATGCATTGTTTTCCTCTATCCCTCTTGCATTCAATATGTCTTGTGAGTATCAAATTTTCCAAGCCTTTTTTCATCAATATGTACCCTAGAAATTTCAGTTCTCTCTTTCTGATGTTAAGTATATGTTTCCTTTTTGTTTCCATTTTTCTCTAAAACTTCCTTATTGCTCACATGTTCAGTCTATGGTATTCCCAACATCCTTTTGTAAAACAACATTTCTGTTGCTTCTAGTTTCATCTTCAACTGTCATGATATTGTTTAGCATTCACTGCCATATAGGAAGAATGATATTAATTAACATTTCAGCACTCTACTTTGTCTATCCAATTTTTGTTTACTTTGCCATGAAGATGATTTTTTTTTTTTTTTCAGGTAAAATCATTGTTTGTGCATATGTATTGTTTCTCATAATGCAAATAGATTCTCCAGCCAGGTGTAAATTATACATGATTTGATATTTTAGATTTTAGTCCCAATCATTTTCCACAAGGTTATGATCAAATGTTATATGATATTCAGCAAAATAAGCAAGTATGTGATTGTTCAGTAATGGGGAGAGATTAACATGAAGCATTCTTGGTGTGTTATTTGTAATATTAGCTTGAATCTTCTTTACAATGAAAAATTATCAGCCATTATTAATTTGCTTCTAGTATTTCTTTTATCTTAATTTTAATTGCTTTTCATCACAACTATACAGACCAGCAGTCTATGGCCATTAGTAAAAATATTATCATGAATTTCTATTTGATAAAATACTGTCACCCATTATTCATTTTTGTTTAGTATTTCCTTTCATCTTAATTTTAGCTGTTTTTCATCACAACCATTCAGACCATCAGTCTATAGCCATTTGAAAGAAATTATCTTTAATTTTTATTAAACGAAGCATTGTCAACCATTATTAATTTCTGTCTAGTATTTTCTTCATCTTAATTTTAGTTTCATTTACATTAGTAATGTGAGTAGTTATAATATTCTTTATTTACATATTTTATATTTATTCTGAGCTAAAGGTAAAAATATATTACAGGTGTGACAGAAATAGCTCCTACATAATGGTAAGACATTAGTGGCAATGGGGTCTTCATCTAGGTAATTTCTTACCATTATGCGGGAGGTATTTCATCTGCACCCTGTATATTAGAATAAATAACACTTAAGAATGGTCATAAAAATAAAAGACATTAGACTTCCTGACAGTTAAGAAATATAAAGCAGAAGACATGGCAATTATTGACATTACAGATATCACACAAGTAGGAAATTATATTTCTTAACAGGCAATTAATCTATACAAATGTAAGGAATTATTATAGAGGTGGATGGTAGTGTGAGTGAACAGCAGATAAGGTGATCAGTGTTGACCAATCATCACAATTGATTCTTCACTCTAAGTCAAGGTTACTTGAAATGAAAGCAAGAAAATAACCATTTGATCAAATGGGTTCATTCATTAATTGGTGGATTTGGATTCAAAATTGTTTTCAAAATCCTTTGTCTAATTTTCCTTTTTTCTCAACATATATATTTATCATCTCCTTCCTACCTTAGCCATTTGTTCATGTTCTCTTTCTCTTCTCCTCTACGTATTTGCCTTTTTTTTTATCTCATCCCTCTTTGTCTTTTCAATCTTCTCCATCCCTCTTTGTCTTTTCAATCTTCTTCATCCCTCTTTGTCTTTTCAATCTCCTCCATCCCTCTTTGTCTTTTCAATCTTCTCCATCCCTCTTTGTCTTTTCAATCTTCTCCATCCCTCTTTGTCTTTTTCAATCTTCTCCATCCCTCTTTGTCTTTTCAATCTTCTCCATCCCTCTTTGTCTTTTTCAATCTTCTCCATCCCTCTTTGTCTTTTTTTTCAATCTTCTCCATCCCTCTTTGTCTTTTCAATCTCCTCCATCTCTCCGTCTTTTCAATCTCCTCCATCTCTCCGTCTTTTCAATCTCCTCCATCTCTCCGTCTTTTCAATCTCCTCCATCCCTCTTTGTCTTTTCAATCTTCTCCATCCCTCTTTGTCTTTTCAATCTTCTCCATCCCTCTTTGTCTTTTCAATCTTCTCCATCCCTCTTTGTCTTTTCAATCTTCTCCATCCCTCTTTGTCTTTTCAATCTCCTCCATCTCTCCGTCTTTTCAATCTCCTCCATCTCTCCGTCTTTTCAATCTCCTCCATCTCTCCGTCTTTTCAATCTCCTCCATCTCTCCGTCTTTTTTTCAATCTCCTCCATCTCTCCGTCTTTTTCAATCTCCTCCATCCCTCTTTGTCTTTTTCAATCTCCTCCATCCCTCTTTGTCTTTTCAATCTTCTCCATCCCTCTTTGTCTTTTCAATCTTCTCCATCCCTCTTTGTCTTTTCAATCTTCTCCATCCCTCTTTGTCTTTTCAATCTTCTCCATCCCTCTTTGTCTTTTCAATCTTCTCCATCCCTCTTTGTCTTTTCAATCTCCTCCATCTCTCCGTCTTTTCAATCTCCTCCATCTCTCCGTCTTTTCAATCTCCTCCATCCCTCTTTGTCTTTTCAATCTCCTCCATCCCTCTTTGTCTTTTCAATCTCCTCCATCTCTCCGTCTTTTCAATCTCCTCCATCTCTCCGTCTTTTCAATCTCCTCCATCTCTCCGTCTTTTCAATCTCCTCCATCTCTCTGTCTTTTTATGCCCCCTCTTTCTTTTATCTCCCTCATTAGTTTATCTTTTTTATTCCCTCATCTCTCTGTTGTTTCAATCTCCTCCATATCTATCTCTTTGATCTTCCCTATTTCTTTGTCTTTTTTTATGTCCTCCATCACTTTTTCTTCTCTTTTCATTCTCCTCCATCTTTCTTTCCTTGTTACTTACTCTCTCTCTCTCACTCTTCTTTTCATTTCCTTCAGTCTATCTCTTCATTCATTTTCATCTCTTTTCCTTTTATTTGCTTTCTCTTTCCTCTTATTTTGTCTTTGTTTTTTCCTCCTCTCTCTTCATTTATTTTTGTATTTTCTTTGTTTTCAAATATAATTCATATAAGTGATTATGTTTTTAAGTAAGACTCTCACTTTGTCTGCACCTGTGTGCAGACTTGAAAGAACTTGGCCATATCCATTCTTGTTGTTCACAAAGTAGGTCTTTAGAGATTTGCCGACTCCTCTTCTTCCCCAATTCCAATTTAGAACTCTTTGGAATGTTACTATTTTAACATTCAATATATTCATTATTAAATGACCAAAACAAAAATCATCAACACATCCAGTGTTAATAACATTACACATATACACACTGTTTTGGGAATGATCTGCTCTACTTGACTGGCCATAAAAAATTGACATTTATAAAAACAGTCCAAACTTTCTTGCTGGATTTAATACATCAAAATTAAGTACTCAAGGCCAAATTTTCTTACTTGTATATTGAGATGGTTACTGTTATTCTTGTTACATGTCCCTGATTATAATGTTTTCAATAATCAATATGTATGTGTTTATATGTATGATTTTTCAAATTAGTTATTTTATGTTATTGGTAAATTTTTAAAAATTCATATTTATTTTAGTGATGTTCTTTTCATTTATTAGACATTGAATTGTGTCACTTTGCATCCTCCATATCTTGCCTGACATTTTGGCTAACCTTCTATATATATATATATATATATATATATATATATATATATATATATATATATATATATATGATCATCTTTAAATTTTTGAAAAACCAATAACATTTTTTGGGCTTGTATATCGATACTTGTTAGAAAAATAAAATCCTTGCTTTTACCTTTGATAAGGTCCCTCAGAGGATGAAACACATTGGCTAAATTTTCCATTTATCTTTATTCATATTGTCCTTTTACAAATATACTCTAAAATTTTTACGCACGCACACACACACCTATGTATGTATATATATATATATATATATATATATATAGGTCAATATCTGATCCTTACCCCCTCCTTCCTCAATATTAAGTATTATAATAAAAAGAAATATAAAAATAAATTTTAAAACTCTCCCTTCCCTCTCTAAACTCGACCATGTCTCTCACACTATTACTCACCGCCTTCTATGTCAAATTATATAAGCTTAATACTGCCTGTCAAAAGTGTAAATTTTAAATTCATTTTTCTTTTCACCTTTTGAAAGTGAAGTCTGAAGATGCAAAGAAAAATAAAATTCTCTGGTGAAATAAATTATTACAAATGGAGCCTTAAAGTGGTCTGTTTTTCTTTAAATTAAATTATTCGCTCTGACTTACCTTTGAGCTCTCAGGATTTCATCCTCCTTTGGATAATCCATACAGATTACCAAGATTTTCATTACTTAACTATATATATATATATATATATATATATATATAATTTCATTTTTTTTCTCTCTCAATTGAGTAGAAATCATCTGTATTCTTTTTCTCTCTGTTGCCTTTGTCCCTGACTGTCCTTCACTGTGACAATGTAAAATCTACCAAGAATGGTGATATATTGTCATGACCTGGTAGATTTTATATTGTCTCTGTAGGATAATCAGAGACAAAAGCGATGGAAAGAAAAATAATGCAAATAATTTCAACTTGAGAGAAAAAAAAATATTCTCTTAAAAATATTCTTTCAAAAATTTTGGAAACTACCTGCATCTCTCATTTTGTGCATATGTGTTGACATGGCAACATCAACAAAGCCCAGTCTGTTGAAATCCTAATGGATGAAATGCATCACAAAAAACCTTTCCAGTTTGTCATATTTATCTAAATATATATATATATATATATATATATATATATATAATCTTTTGTGACATACATGTGGTCATTAATAATTAAGCATGACTCAAATCTTCAATCTTAAATAAAACAGTATTTAATTACAACTGCAAATAAATACTTAACAAGAACAAAGAAGTAAAAGTCAACCAAAGATAATTAACCATTTCAGTGAATACCTTGTAGGTAGTGTGACTCAGCTTAATGTCTGGTAAATCCTAAATCAAAACCCAAATTATCAACATACAATAATGCACACTAATTTTAGTGGATAATTCCACTCAATAGTCACTGCAGTCAGTATCCTGACACCACTATTTGTATAGCTGGTGGGAAACATATATTCATAAGTACAGAGTGTCAAGCTCAAACCTCGGTGCCAGTAGTTACTAATTTTCTTCCTATATGACATAATGTAACAAACGTTAAAAGACAGTTATGTTTTTAATCAACTTTTCTTGGTTACAAACCGAATGCTTTACATAAGACGGAAATCCTTGGATGAATATTTCACAAATCAAGAGAAAGCATGTATCCTAGTTTAAGTTTGTTGTAAAATATTTTATGAATTAATCAGTTAAGATTTTAAATTACGGTGTCATTAATATATTATGACATGATATAATGTCATGTGGTTGACTTTTAGCTACTATTGTAGAACTTGAACATGACTGTTGGAGAAAATCTTGTTTATGGATGTAGCTTTCTGTAACTTTCTAAGCCTCTTTGCTGATGATGACCAATGGAATGGTTGAAAATACTGGGGCTCACCCTTTCTCCTAAATCAACCTTAGACTGTTCATTCAAGGACTTTTATCTGATGTAAAGTATTTGGTTCTAAATCAAGAAGAGTTGATTAAGAAAATGTAACTCTCTTTCTTTGTTAGATTCAGCAATACCTGCATAAAAGAAAACTTGTTGCTTAAATACATATTATTCAATACATAAATATATATATATATATATATATATATATATATATATATATATATATAAAAATAGGAAAGAACTGTTAGATAGATTATCTGAAGTTCTTTAGTATTTTTGTTTTTATTTTAAAAAAACAATGCTTGATATATATTGATTATGCAGTGTTACATTAGAATATGCACATACCCACTACAAAACTGTACATCAGGTGGGGAAGCATAATTCATGATTCCCCACCTGATGAAACATTAAAAAGGATTTTTTTACATTGAAATAAGATGTATTAATTTGTAGTGGGTATGTGCATGTTCTAATGTAACACTGCATAATAACTAAATATTTACAGCTCTACTTTTGTATTGAGCCCTCTTTTAAATTAATGTTTTGAATGCTGAAATCTTACTCTTCGTTCCTTTACATTTGGATATATATATATATATATATATATATATATATATATATATATTTTAAGTTTCATTGAAAATGACTGATAAAGTACAGTGGTTGAGTTTTTTTTATATAATTCCTCATGTGTCATTCATTTTGAAGAGAACTTCTATAAAAGAGGGATTGCTGCTCAAATACACAAATTTTATATGGAACTGAATGTCAATCTATTAATGGCTTTGTGATACTACTAATAGGACAGTTCTATAGAGTTCTGGGAGATCAGGTGACCATCACACTTCCATCTCTTACCGGAAGATACAGTTGGACTTTATACTCTTTCTGATTGTTACTGACTAACCGGCGTTTGTTTGACTACTAATCTCTCTGTTGTAAATACCTCTTCAGATATACCAGTATTTTTCCCTACGTATGTGTTTGTCCTTATTTCAATACACACACGGGGAAACACTCAACATTTTAACACTATTCTTTCTTTCTTTCTTTTTTTCAAAATTTTTTCCTTGGATGCCAATTTGTTTGAAAATTGTGCTATCCAGGTTTACTCACCCACCAAGTTTAAATAGATTTACAAATATATATATATATTGTAAATCTATTTAAATATATATATATAAAAATGTATATTTGCGCAGGAACCTTTCTGTTAAACATCTTTCAAGACACCACAAAAATAAAATATACAAACATGAGGAAAGACTAACATCATCAAAAATAAAACTTGAAAATGGCTAAAGGAGTAGCTGTCAGCTCTTGGAACAATGAAAATTAAGGTAATTTTCTGTACTCTCTTACTCCTAGAAAATGGTAGAACATAAGGATGCTGGAAAAACTAAAAAAAAAATTAATTAAATCTTCCTTGCCTGCCGTATTTAATGAAATACATACATATATATATATATATATATATATATATATTAAGCAATATACATAATATCTTACATTAATTGCACAACTCAGAGTTTCATGCCGAAGTAAGCTTTAAGTGCTGGAATTATAATATTGATGTTCACACATATCACAAAGCCATTAATAGATTGACATTCAGTTCCATATAAAATTTGTGTATTTGAGCAGCAATCCCTCTTTTATAGAAGTTCATAAATAAAAATGCATAAATACTTGATGTATGAATTATTTGCTTCAGCTAAGCTAAAACAAAATTTCTTAGATTTTGGGTATTATGTGGTGTCACTTTCAAGAGGATAACTGATTTTAAAAATCAGCAATCAATACTGAATTTTCATTTGAATGCAAATATCCACAGAGGCCAGATGCAATCCTGTTTGCATATAAACAATAAAATGTTCTTCTCTTTTGAAGATGAACTGATTTTGAATGGTGATAAATCTCTTTGAAAAAGAGCATTTTCAAAGAGGCACAGATATATTGTCTTGACAGTAAGCATCCCGATTTCTCCAAATAGATAGTCACAGAATGCTTCTTCTGAACTGTTGTGTCTCTCTCTCTCTCTCTCTCTCTCTCTATATATATATATATATAGTTTGAAGACACACACCAATGTCCTTACAACAACTAATAGAGAGTCAGAGCAATGTTGTGTGTTTCCTCATCCATTTTAAACTGCATTTGATTAAACTATTAGAGGAAGATTAAAATCTTCATTGACTGATTTGTTTAATGTGTGATAAGGTTCATTTACAACAAAAGACAATGATTATCATTATCTGTATGGAATGGCATGTGGTAGATTTTGGTAAATAGCACTGGCTGAAGATTGAGTTCTGAATTTGACGTCTGTGCTTCATCATAGAAACACACCCTCCAGTTTATTTTGGCCTATTGGGGTGATTCCAGAAAGATAAGTGCTGATAAGGAATTTAATTTTATAGTCAATGATCACCAGTTTAATTTCATGACAGAATTTCTTCGTTGTTTGCAGATAATTTTTTTTACCAGG